GAATTCTGGGAATTGAAGTCCACTCATCTTAAAGTGGCCAAGTTTGGACAACACTGATATATACTAATGGGAAGCATCTTTGGACATTTCTCAGCAATATAATACTTTTAAAAACACCACTATCATTGTAATGGTTGTGATGTTCTTTTATCTAGTTCTAATTTAGGTCTATTCTCATCTATCTGTCTTTTTGGGGCGGCAAAGTCTTTCTTGTTTGTTTTTCTGCTCTCAGCATAAAAAATGCATATACATGCTTTCTGCCTTTAACAGAAATGGTAGAGATAAAATTTAAAAAAAAAACACCCCCCAAAAAATTTAACATGGAATATTTTCTGGCTCAGATAGCATCTTTGCTTTAAAATTTCCAGGGCAACAACTCACTACTGATTGTGACTGTGATTGATTATGAACTACATGGTACAGGCTTATTAAAAATCTTATCACTTTAGTATGTAGCATGGAGACCACATGGCTGAATACTATTTCACTTAAATGCATCCCTATTATAGAAAATGTTACAGCACAAGGAGGCTAGGTAAAAAGTCTTTGTGTGAGCCTTTTGTTAAGTTTCTCTTCCATATGTTTATCAGTTCCAAATACTCTCAAAGGGGCATTTGATAATTAGTTTTCTGTGTGGATTAGAAAGTGGCACACTCTTCAAAGAACAATTCCATTTCATTTGTATAGTTGGACTCTGAAAACCATTACACTTGCCCTCGGGATGCAATTATCTGTTTTCTGCAGTTTTGTTAATGCAATGTATATAATGTAATCTCAGTGTGCTGTGTAGAATTTTGCCAGATTATTTGACAACTAGTATAGCTAGATGTTTTGAACAGAATCACTCAAGGACATGCTTTCTGTTTAAGGTACATGCTTTTTCAGCTATGATGTATCTAAAATTGTGTACCTATTGCATGCTAAGCTTCATTTGCGGAACTTTTTTTGAGACTACATTCAAGTTCTTGTGATTAATATGAAGCACTTTATATTATGCAGGCCAAATACTGATCTTGTAACCTACAATGCTTTGTTAGATGCATATTTTATATGAACATGCTTCGATGTTTCCATTGTATGAAATAATACAATTAGCTTTTGCAATGAAAATTAAAGCAGTAAAGGAAAATACGCTAATTAGCATTTCCAAAAATTCTGATTCTAATCAGTATATTACTGTATATTCAAATGCCAACTCCAAATTGTAGCATTTACTTAATGTGAAAGCAAATGTAGCAGTTGGTTCCATTTTGAATGTATACATTATGAAAATAATTTATAGCACACGTATGATACCCTCCCCCCCCCCAGTTAAATATATTGATTTTTATGTACCTAGTCAGCTTCTAGACTTTTAAGATGGTCAACTAAAATAATCTTTGACCTGGGAACTTTATTTATCCATACTAATTCTTTTAATGGCTCCTAGAATTGATTGTAAGAGCACAAGTTCCTGCAGTAGTATTACACAAAAGGGAAAGCACTTCTTGGCAGGTTCCTGAGTGGATTCATCTGATTTAATATGCTTTTTTTTTTATTACTGTCTAACCTTCCACAACCTTTCCTGTCTGTCTTTTGTCATTAAAGATTCATCTGCCCACCTGTTGGGGGAAATATCAGTCTGAATTACCTCATCTTGACCTATTTTAAATCAATGCAGACCAATATGTAGTATATAATTTCAGTAGCATGCCTTCATGAAGAGAAAAAGATATTTCATTTTAAGGAGAAAACTAAGCTCTGCAATTTAGAATACCTAGCTACCTTGCTAGATGTAATCCTTAGTATGCTGCAAGTGTGATCTGACATTCTGGCAGTAGCAGAATCCGAGAACTTAATTGAATTATTTACTATCAGATATTAGTAATCTGTATGGCTATAATTATGCCATGTGGATTCAGTAGTGGCAATATTGTTTTTCCCTTAGAGTACGGATGCTCTAAATAGTCACATAATCTATTCCGAGCTTGTCAAGTTTGCCTTTGTAACCAGGTCAACTATGCAGATACTAGCCATAGTTAGTTGCTCTGTACATTCAATATAATGTTATGTTTTTTCATTTTATCTTCTTGTGTTCCTCGTGTCTAAAGCAAACAGTAAGTTGTCACAGAACTGGAGGACAACAGTATTGCTATACTGTCTCCCTTCTTCCAAATAAAGCTATTCTAAGATACTCCTCATTGTTTTTGGATGGTTTATTTTTTCTCTGAGGTGTTATGAGGTTTGTTTTTCTTACACCCTGCATATATTTCCACCAATTTAGCTCAGTACTCTTTTACAACTGGAAATGGTTAACTGCTAAGCACACAGGATAGCTGCAGAAGCTTAGCTAGAGCCAGCAAGAAGAGAGCACAGGTCTGCCATGCTCAGTGGCTTCTTGATAGATGAGTTAACTTATAAAATATTTCTTGTATGTGAAAAAAACTGATTGAAGCCCACTGTTATATATTATTCTAGCTTTCAAATTATAAAAATGTTGTATTGTGTTTAATACATCAATGTCATCTCTTCATCTCTTTATAATGTTCCAAGTATACAAAGGGTTACCAGGTTGACACCCATCAAGGTACTTATTAGACCTCCTTTGCTTTACCATGATTTTAGTAGCACATGCATGTAGACCATGACTGCTGCTTATTTATATCATTTGCAAGAGTAGAGCTAACTATAGCCAGAGAGATGCAGTACTTTTGCTCTGATTTAGATGGATATCTAAAAAATCATGTATAGGTTAAAAAGTGTATCTCTCTCTCTCTCTCTCTCTCTCCCCCTCCCTCTCCCTCTCCCTCTCTCTCATAAAACTTGAATCCATTGAAACTAAAAAGGAGAGTTGGTAGACAAAAAGACTTTTTCTCCCAAAATAGCACAAAGTTAAATTGTTGAATTCACTGTCAGCGGTTGTACTCAATGGCTGTGAGCTTTCCAAATACATCCAGTTGGCCACTGTGTGACACAGAAATCTGAATGAGATAGAAACGTAGACAGATTCAGTAAGACTCTTCTTATGGGCTTATTTTGTAATTATGTATTTAATTTAGAAAGGTATAACTGCAAATAAGATTTTTCAAAGGCCTTATATAAATTACATTTCTTAAAAAATTATAGAAAAAGAAAAGGAATGGAACTCATAACAAAATGATTGCACATAGCTACTTTCCATTTATTTACAGTATGAAAGATTTAATTTTTAGGCCACCTGTGGAGATTAAAGAGAGTTTTATTTTGCTTTTCAGCATGTGGTGACCTGGAGTTCAGAGAGGTTGCAAGTAGATTGCGAGACTGGTTCAAGGCTCTTCATGAAAGTGGAATTCAGAAGAGGACTAGAATTTTGCAAAGGCCTGAAAGAAGCAGTAAGCACTTAACAATTTTTAATATCTCTCTGGAAGAATCTCTATTTTTAAAAGGAGTTTTATTTTTCATTAAGCTTCAAACTCTGTTTCTAAGCTGCTTTCTTAAGCATTAAGAATTAAGATGTCTTTCATAAATTCATGTTCTTAGAGTGCTGCCTTCCAGAAAACAGAAACATGGTTATGTATGGAACAATACTAATACAATACACCAAGAGTTATCAACAAGTTCTGCAGCCTTATAAATGTGAATGAATGAATGAATGAATGAATGAATGAATGAATGAATGAATGAATGAATTGCTAGGCCTTTTCAAGTTACCATACAGTGTAACTGCTCTAATTAAGGTATTATTAATTAATTAATGTGTATCTATTAAAGCAGAATGTCCATTAATTCTGAATGGGATTTTATGTATGCATATACATTTTATGCATATTGTACACATGCATAAAATAGGAAAGGGATTTTGCATATGATAATTTTACACATTTTACACATACATAAAATGGAAATGGGATTTTACACAAGCATAATCATTTATATTCTACAAAGATCATCTGATTCTTCCACTTCCAATTTTTGAAGTATGGAATTGTATTGGGTAGAATTGATTTCACTGATGAATGTTGCTCTGCTGTCAGACAGCACTGGATAAAACTGAATGTGATTCAGTGGAGTGAAGTGGCAGATAGGCAATCAATAGCATATGGTAGCTTACAGCTGTTAATAAATGGTGCTATCATAACAGAGAAATAAATAACATCAAAATTAGCAGACTGTAACCATCTCTAGGCTTTGTTTAAAACAGAGGTTACGAACAGTGAAATATTTGACAGTGGTTTCCTACTGAGGCAAGTTAGGAAACCTACAGAGAAAACCTCTCAGGCAGATGAGATTTTGCAAGGATTAAAACTGGACTCTTTAATAACACAACAAGCCATTTCCTGTCTGTTGTTTAATAGGTTTTGCCTACTGTTGACTGCCTACCTTACTAAAGTCACTATTTATATTTTTAGATGTTCTGAATATTTGCTCATGTCTGTTTAATTTCAGCTCCTTATTGGCACAAATTTGCATTAGTTATAAATCCTATTATTTTAATTAAGTGTATAATTTCTTTGTGTGATTACTTATAATACAATGGTGTATATATAATTTATGCATCAATGTATTATAATCCAGCAATGTCAGCAGTAGTCTTAAAAAAAGCAACTGGGATACACAAGATCCAGGTATATATTCTTCTACGGGGAGGACAAGGAATATTTGAACATGACACCAAGTGGTAGAACTGAGCAGACTATTTCTCTAATTCCTGTCCCCAGATGAAATAAGTTATCTTAAGTTATCTTCACATCTCTCACTATTTAAAAATAACTATGACTCTCTCTCTCTTTTTTTAACAAACTATATTATATGGAATGGGTTTCAAAACAATGTTTTGATTCTGGCCCTTTTGTGGATTGCTACATTGTAATGATGAAGAAGATTGCTATGAGTTATATTAATTAAATCCCCCCAAAAATCATCCACAATGGTGATAAGTCATATATGAGGAATTAAACTAAATATTCTCCACTAGAGAAGGAAACATCAACCCACTCCAGTATTCTTCCAGGAAAACCAGGTGGACGTTTACAACCATGACAGTGTCAATATACTGGAAGAACGAGCTACGGGGGAAGAGCAGAGGGCAGATCCAAATGGCACTTCTGCTTATGATGTGACCAGATTAAAGGTGCAAGGATGTACAACTTATGATGTGCACAGAAGCAAAAGGAAAGTTTGATGTTGCAGAAATATGTATATAATTAGTACATGGAATATCAGAACCACAAACTAAGGGAAATTTCATGTTGTCAGAGCAGAAATATCAAGGCTGAACATTGATATACTGGGAACCAGCAAAGCGAACTGAAGTGGATTGGAATGAGTCATTTCACCTCAGAGGAACATCAGATCTTCTACTGCATGCAACAAAACCATAGCAGAAATGGAGTACTGATCCTTGCGGTATCAAAATCAGTGCTCAGATATAACCCAAAATGATAGAATTAACTCGATTTGAATGCAAGGCTATAGGATTATGGTAATGCAAGTGTATGCTGTAACCACAGACATATAATTTAGTATCTGGAATAATGACAAAATTTGATCTTGGTGTAGAAAATGAAACACAAAACAGACTAATGATATAAATATAGAAAAATCAAAGGCAATAAAAAAGTGGCCCATAGACGACAAGGAGGACATATACAATTACAGGTAATACTAGCATGACCTTACAGCAACAGTTATTATCAGACAGTCCTGATGAAATTATGTCCCTCAAGTGGTAAAGAAGTGACTGATCAACTGAACAACAATATCTTGGATCAAGACTTAGTCATACTTGGAGCACATCCATTTAAACTGGTGAGGTTTAAATTAGGATAATGTAAGTTCCATTGATTTCCACTGATCTGGATCCAAACCATTGAATATAACAGAAACTAAATCTGCTTGCATTTTAATAGCCTGTTGTGTTTCATGGCAATAATAATGCAACTCATTCTGGGAATTGTATTGAATATCTGCATTTAAAATTGAAGTTATGCTAAATGATAAAAAACTAAGTGAAGTACAGTGAAAATCTTTTTCTCTTTTACTAAGTTTGGTATTGTCTGATTTAGAAAAGGCTTTGTAAGAGTTGATGATATTTTACATAATGTAGATATCCTTTCTTCTGCTCATCTCTATTTCTGTTTTTTTTTCCTGCTAAGTTTCTGTACTTTTGATTTAGTATTATGTATTGTACTATAATATGTTGTGAGAATCTATTTATCACAGCAGAAAATCTCAGTATAAAGTATATCATATTTCCATGCAAGCATCCTTTTGAAACACTACAAATTGACGTCAACTTGGTCAAAACCAGTTATTTTATATATAGTTATAATTTTTTACACTTGAATTTCAAATATGTTTTGGTTTAATTTTATGTATTTTTTCCTGATAAAAGTAAGAGCTTCACACATACATGCCTTAATTATTGTTCTTTCGTTTATTTTTGCTCCTTAATCACTGGCTAAACAGTGTTGAGTAGTGAATCATTTTGTCTCTGTCAGAAATGGAAGGCTGAGTTTAAGACAAGTGACTTGCTTAAAGCTATCTAGTATTTTGTGCTGTTCTGAGAACTTAATCAAGTCCTTCCTGGCTCATGTGCTTAACCACTGTGGCACATCCTGTGTCTACAACAGTGATCAGGGTATCAGACTTTTATCACAGATTTAATATCTGTTCTTCAATTCATCAGCTACTTAATCCTCTGCTACTCAGTCTCTCTGCTCATCAGTATTTAATCCCAGCTTCTTTCCTCAAAGTCCCATAAGGAATTAATCTCTCATGTGTCAATATATCTGGAAAAGATATACACTTCTAGACTGAGATTGTAAATAGTTCTAATCTAGTATGTTTATCTATTAGAAAATGGAGAAACTGTCATTCCAAAATTGTTAATGTAGAGTAAGGTCATGATTTTGCTCTGTCGATGTAAAATAGTAAATGTCTTTTTTAAAAAAATATTTATTTATTCAGCTTTGAAAAGAAAGGAGAAAGAAGTAGAGTCACCTGTTTATTATACTTGAAATGTTATTGTTTACCATTATCTGTATAAACAAAAAAATAATATTTGAAGATATATTTTAGTTTTCTTATAATGTATCACCCATGATTAGTAATAGTACAAATGTCAAGGTCTAAAAAGTGCAAAGGTATTTATAGCAATATGTGGAATTTTGTATTTTCGGTGGAATTTAATTTAATAGCAGGAAGAAAACAAAATTAATGAGCTGTTGTATGTACAAAATTGGTAAAAGGCCATATTTTGTAACTAGCCCATGGTTGTTCCCGCTCCTCCCTCCATGAGAAGTTTCAAAAACAGCACAAAAACAAGAATAGTTTAAATTGGGCTCATGAAGGCCTTTTCCAGAGAGAAGTCTGTGTATTTTAATTTGCATTAGTTTACGAAATACTTTCTTTTTTTAACTTTCTAATACTCAGCTTGCCTTTTCAAATGATTAGTTCAATAACGCTTTTCATCCTGAAGAAAATATCTGTACTAATATAATCCAGAGCAACACAGTGTAAACTGAACATGGGAAAAGATGGAGGAAGTACTGTACAAAAACTTTACACATTCTTTTGTGACATTCAGCAGAATTTCTTATTAAAATTATATTTCATATTTGTTGTATTTATCCTGTGGTTAACATTGATTTTAAATTCATATAGGGATAAAGGTGATTTTCAAAAACCACATAAGTTCAGATGTTGAAGCTCTTCTTAAAATATTTTTATTAAAGTTTTACACAGATAAAAGCTAATACAGAACTAAAAAGGATATACAACCAAAAAAGAAAAAAGAGAAAGGAAAAAAGAAAAGGGGAAAAAGAGAAAGACATATAAAAAGTGACTCCCCCTCACTCCAAAGAAGTATAAACATTTACAATAACTTAGCAGCTTCTCTAGCATTACAGAAAAAAAAGACTCTTCCCATTTCTAATCCCTTAACAATAGCCAAATTATAAAAAATTCATCAATCTTGCTCAGCAAAAGCATTAAGAGTATCAGTAATAATAACCTATATGTTTTAACCTTAAACAAATTAGTCCATTTTGCATTTGACCTATAGCTTTCTCTAATAAGTAAAACATAAAAGATTTATCTGCATAGGCAAGAAGGATAATGCCTATGGCATTAACAACATATATATATGTTGTTAATGGAATGGTAAAAACCTGCAGAACATTTCGATTAACAACATATATATATGTTGTTAATGCCATAGGCATTATCCTTCTTGCCTATGCAGATAAATCTTTTATGTTTTACTTATTAGAGAAAGCTATAGGTCAAATGCAAAATGGACTAATTTGTTTAAATTATATATAACATATATATATATATTATACACATACACACACATACATACATACACACACATACATACACACACACACATACATACACACACATATATATACACATATATACACACACACACACACACACTAAATCAAATAGGGAATCTGTGCTGTATTTTCTTACTAAAAGTAAAACTCTTTTATTTCAACCTTATATATGTTTTCCTGGGCTACGTATGTAAGGAGATTTTTTTTCTTTTGTCATGTACTATAATACACTTGGACTAATACAACCCAAGGGTGACTGTATGCCTTACAATAATTTTCCTAAACTGATTTTTTTCTTGGTGTAAAAAGTTTAAAACAAGAAAATAAAAATATTGATCTTTGATACAGTAAACCTAAATAAATAAATAAATAAATAAATAAATAAATAAATAAATAAAATGCTATTATTAACCCTTAAAGCCCTGTGTGACTTGAGTTACTTACAGGACCATCTCCTCCAGAGGTAATCTGTCCATCTGCTCCAATTCACCCATGCAGTGATCCTGCAAGTACTCTTACCTTGGGCAGTAAGGAGGCCTAGAATCTGGAATCTGGAAGCAGGCCTTTTTAAAAGTGGCCCAATTCCTCTGGAACATCTTACACAGAAATACCCAGTCCTGATGATTCATACATTATTAATCTTTTATAGAATGGTAAAAACCTGCAGAACATTTCGTAGGTGAAGATCATGCTGTGTAGGTCCATTTTTATCAGTTTTTTTTTAATGAATTAGTTTTAATTGCAATTCATGTTATTAATTTTGATGTTGCCAGTTACTGGGTTTGTTTTAAATACCAGTTAAAATATTTATTTGTCTTGTTAGGTGCCTAGAGTGTTTGAAGTAGATACATGATCAATTTGGGAAATAAATAAATAAATAATAAAATACTAAGTAATGGTAAAGTTACCAGATCTACTCTGCAAAAATTCCAGGTGGATGGCAGCAAACCACTAGAACAAAGAACTAGTGTTGCTGCTATTTGATAGTCCTTCCGAATTTTGCAGCATCTGTTAGCCTTGCTGAATGTTGTTAGCATAGAGCTGATCAAGTCACATTGATTATTAATTATAGTTATATGGTATAAAACTGTTTCTGTGAGAAAGGACACCATTAGTTCTGTTGATCTGCGTGTCAGCCTCTGCCTTTATTAGTGAATCAATTGTTTTGTGTCTTTGCCTCTTAGGATTTGATACCAGCATTTTACCAATTTGCAAGGAGTCTCTTGGCTGGATGTTTAACAGGCTTGATACAAACTATGACCTACTTTTGGACCAATCAGAACTTGCAAGCATATATCTTGACAAGAATGAGCAGTGCACCAAGGCATTCTTCAATTCTTGTGACACTTACAAGGACAGTTTAATATCCAACAATGAATGGTGCTACTGTTTCCAAAGGCAGCAAGGTGGGCAATTGAAATAACATTCAAACAATTAAAAGCTGTGGAAAAATAGAAGAAAGATGCCTTATGGCAGTTTAACTTTTCTGGTGGTTTTGGAAATACAGTGCAAGAACAACAACAAACAGAAAAAATGTGTTAAATCCACACACATACAAGTATTGTCTTATCCTAGATCCATTGCAACAGTATAAGGACAAATTCCAAAAGGGTTACTCAGAGAGTTAAACAGAAAAGTGGTTTGGTGTTCAATAAGGTCAAACCTCAAGATGCTCTAGGTGCCTTCTTATTCAGCTTGTGAACATTAATATATATAGATACAGATACAGATATAGATGGTATAGATAGTCTTGAGATGGTAGGAAGATGGAATATAAAGTTAATTAATTAATTAATTAATTAATTAATTAAGCCAGACCATGGCAGAGCCATGTGAATATATTGAATTATCATCCTTTATTTGGCTGGTGCTTGTCAAGCTATCTACCAGGTTATCCAAGAATTCTAGGATATTCTCAAGTCGATTGTTACTCCCAAGGCACTTTTTATTTTGCAAGTGAACACTTTGTCACTTGTCCGTTGTCTGATTCAACCCACCAATATCACCATCCGTATGGTGCAGTAGTGACTCTTAGGCAGAGGATCCTGGGTTAGGAAATGGGTTCTGGATCATGTCTTGCGCTAGAGAGCTTGACGGACTTCCTTGTCCCATCCCTGAGGATTTATTCTTGGAAAAGACAGTGGAAGTCATGTTCAGAGGAGGCAAAATCTAGTCAAACACTAGTTTCAGTGAGTAACTCTCTCAATGGAAGTCAGAAGCATTTGTATTTTCTCCATGGGATACAGATATGTGACTAATGTTTTACTTCTGCAGAATTTCACTGGCAATTTCAGTGAAATAGGTATGCTATGCTATTATACAACACTGGTTCTGGAATACTTTAAAGTGTCAGTTATTATATAGTGTGTATTTTGGTCAGGTTAAACACTGGTATGTTTTAAAGCTCCCTTGGTTGTTTTTGAAATAGCGTATAGCTTAGTTAAGCAAATGTACGTACACATACTGTCACACACATGTTAATGCATAAAAGGTCAACAAGGGAAATAAAATTTACTTGAGTAAACGGAATTATTTTTTTTAGAATCTAAATTTTACTCAGTACATTCATTTTTGTGAGATTTATTAGTGGAATATGTAATGCTATTCCTGAATTTTCCTTTGTAAAAACTGAACAAATTCAAGGAAGTTAGGCCTATTGGATGATGTGTATTTTTTATAATAATTATATCCAAAGCCATATATCTTTAGATATTAGAAGTGATATGTGAATAGCTGAGCAAGCCTGTAATTGTCATGCTTTGTTTAAAACAGCCCTCTCCAAACCAATGGTTCCAGATGTATTGGACTTCAATTCCCGATATAACTGTTTGAAGTTTAATACATATGGAGAGATCCAAACTGGCAAAGGTTGTCATATGAAGTTCCTGTACACATCTGGATAAGCAGAGGCAGAATCAGACCTTTAGTCCAGTGTAGCAAAATTCTTGCAAACAAGCTTAATGACTAGCTTCTGGATAAGAAGGTGTAATGAAAATCAGATATTTTAAAATCTTTGAAGGAAACTTATAGATTGAGTGAATCCTTCTTCAGTTGTCATGCTTGGCTAAATTTTAATAGGCCTTATGTTGTTCTAGATCCACCTTGCCAGACATTGCTCAGCAACATTCACAAACAACAAGGGGGAAAGAAGTTTTTAGGTAAGTTATATGTTACTATTTGAAGCTTTTATTGCTTACATAAATAATCCTAGTGAAACTGCAACAAAAAATTAACATGAGTCCTAAAACAATAGACCAAAATTCTAGTAACAGAATGCATAAAGGTTTTGAAAGCTATTAACATTAGTTTTATTATCAGTTTGAAGATAATACTGCTATTTTATAGCACTGCTAGAATGATTCTTTCTACTCTTACAACACTAAACTAGATAATACAAAAATAAAATAACACTTTTGTGAGTAATTCTTTATTGCATGTCAGTATTTGCAAAGCTATGCTAATTAATGGATATAATCTTTTTATTTTGTTGAAAATTGAAACTATAGCTTACAATATTTTGTATAGCTGTAACATGGAATAAGAGGGTTATACTTTTGAAGGGGTATCAAATGCTACAGTGTGTAGGCCAGAGAGGCAGTGACATCACTGAAATGGGCTGGGTGTAATTGTGGAGTATTTGTTTTGTGAGGATTGAAATATATGTTTATTTTTGGTGTGTTAAGTCTAAAGGAAAGCTTATGTATCTTCTATGGTTTTAGTTTGTTTTTGTTTTTCCCCCCAAATGGTAGAAATTATGCAATTCTCATAATTTGCCATCAAAATTTGGCAGCACAATTTCTGGAGATTGAGGATACAGAATGGCTATATATAGCATAAAGTTCGTATTTGAATGTACTAAAAAATAGATTTTAGGAAATGTTCCAAAGAACATTAATCTAGTTTGCTGTGACATTCTTTCTTCATCCTCAGAATACCTGGTTTTGATAGGTGACAGATATTTTAAAAATAAAATTCTTAGAAGGAGAATAGAATTTTCTTGCCGCTTAAGACATATTTGGATAGTAGAAGCAAATCATGTTTATAAACATTCCTTTTTTAAAATTGCTATATTGCAGAATTCTTACTGAGTTGAATTCCAGCCATATTGGGATAATACATTTGTTACTTCAACTCATAAGAAAATAGGCTGTAGGCTTTCAAAGACCTGAGAGATATTCATGAGCCAAAAACTGAGAAGGACTCCAAGTGATCCATGCTGAAATCCTAGATCTGAATTTAATCATATCATTAAAACAAAATGTGAAAAGAGATTGCAAGCATTAAGATTAAGCTTTTCCTGATACTGTGATCATTTAAGTTTAGCATTCTTACTAGGTCTGCTGGGTTGAAGAAACAAACAATATTTATTTTTCATTTTTGAAAATATAAAAACTAGCTGTTATTGTTTCATCAGTTAAAAAAAATAGTTTTTCATCTCTATATAAAGAAATTACATACACGTGTGCACACACACACACAAACTGATATAGCCAGATAGTTCATTCAGTTTCTTTCTTTAAAACAAATCCAAAAGACTCTATATTTTATCTAAGAATTGGACTGAGGTGCTTCAGAGATGAATTTCAGGATTCTGGTGGTATCTTTCTTCAACATAGAATACTGCTATTAAACAGGTAAATTCAGTATTCACTGAATCATGCAACATGATAAGAAAAAGAAAAATCAATACTAGGGCAATACTTTTATTATATTAACTTAAACAAATACTGTATTGTAGAACCTTTAACAACAACTGTCACACACATACATGCACACACATATGTTATGGAAATCTTAATACTACAAAGCAATTAGCTAAATTTTGCAGCTTTACTTCATTATAATATCTGATAGCAATTCTTAAAGGTCCTGTTAGGTTATATTTTAAATGTAGCTTTTTGAACTGTTTAGTGATCTTTAATATTGCTTTTAATATCTTATTAAAATGTTTATTTTAATGCTTGTATGTGCTTGGTTTGTTTTACAAAATGATATAGACTGCCTTGGTGGCTTTCAAAAATGCAACATAAAATGCTCAGATAAATAAAGTGCCTTAAACTGATCACCATCTTTCAAGCTACAGTAATATATCTCCTACTGTTGTGGGAGTAGGGAGGAGAAGAGAGACTCGTATTTGTTTTCTTAAGGTTCTTGGAACCATCTATGAAGAAAGTCTTCCCGCTTCCTCCTTTGCTCATTACTCTGTGTCTGTGTACATACACACACACACAAAGGACACTCATACATAGAGGGTATATGAAAAGTCACAATATGTTTTATTAATTTTTTTCAGAGAAAATGCCACTTTACTTAGAAATGTTCAAAGGTCATGCATCAAACAAGTAGGGAAGTGTTTAGAAGAAAAGGGCAACCAAGTAAACATTTAATGTAGTTTATATAGTAAATTGTCTGTGGGGCCTGACTTTGTCTATGGGGCTGACATTTGATACCTATAATAAATAAATACACACACACACACACACACAGAGCACAACTGAAATCAATAGGACCAATCAGCCACCCCTTGATTTGACTATTCCAATGTTTGGCTTTGTATTAACTTTCCAATTGTCAAGATGATTGCCTCTTCTTGAATAGTCAATTTTATTTACTCTGGAGTGAGTTGCAGTTTCTTTTGTTATCCCTAAACTATGCTAGTTTTTGTTTTGCACAGCAATCTTGACTTGATATTTAAAACAAATTTAGGAGTAAGAATGCTTATACTAAAGTAGATATTTCTGAAAAGTTGTAAGCTTCTTCACAAGATGCTTCACTGGAGTCAGAATATAAAAGCTGCAAAACATTGCAAAATATTCATGTTTTCATGTCTTGTTCAGGGCAATATATTCCTTTATGTGATGAAGATGGCTACTATAAGCCAACTCAATGTCATGGAACTGCAGGTCAGTGCTGGTGTGTTGATCGATATGGCAATGAGGTAACAGGTTCCCGAACACATGGTGCTGCAGATTGTGGTAAGTCTCCAAAATCTTCCTTTTTTCCATTAAAAATGTGTGTCTATTCCAGCAATGTAACTACTAATCTTAAAGGTTTATAATCTAAATTAGATTTTCCCAACTTGAGGTTCTCCACATATATTAACTACAGCTTCTATCTCTACCACCTTATGTTCCATAGGGGTGATGGAAAGATACCAAGTTGGGAAAGGCTGATTTGGGGACTAATTTGGAAAGGATTTGGGGATTGAAAATTGAACATAGTCCCTCAGTTGTGACAATCAAAGAAGATATTGGACTCACATTTCCCCATCCATCTTAATCTTTCTCTAGGGCCATTAACTTTTCTTATAAATAGTGAACTAATAAAGTATTGTTATGTTGAATTGGTTTTATGAGTAGATTGCAATCAATGCTATCATAATTATAGATCCATTAAATCATTGAGGACAGTTTATATCACCTTACTTTTGCGTGCCTTCATAAGAAGAAGCCATTGCTTTCTGCTTATAATAATTAAACTTAATTTTGTTAAATTTCTCTTGTATTTGAACGGCAGAATATATTATATAAATCTGTTATTCTCCATTTAGTAGATGGGCAAAGAATTAAGCATATGTTTTTCAAATTACTGTTTTGTCATATTTAGGCACAGAGGAAAGATGAGGGGAATATTTTAGTCAAATACAGCAACCTTAGGCTGCAACTTAATGTCATTCTGTGGACAGTAGAGAGGCTATAAACTCCCTATAATATTACAGGTCAACCTGTAATATTATTAGAGAGCCTTAACTGGAAGGAATAAAAATGTAAGGGCCGAATAGCTCATCTGCAAACCATGCTTTTCTTCTCCAGACAATACCATCATATATATATACGTATATATACAACAGCCATGCAACTCTTATGAATATATTCAGGAGTGGCTGTGGTTTTTCATTTCAGTGTAGACTGAAATGTCAGCATGTACTTCTCTGATGATCTGTCAAAATAGTATTACTGGTGTATGTGGAAAGACTTGTGAAAAGATTCACAGCTCCTGCTTGAAGAGCAAGTGTAGTCAGGAAGACCTTTGCACAGATTAATCTAGTGCATCAGTTGTGCCCATTTCTAGATTGAGAGGTCCTTAGAAAGTCACTCATGCCCTAGTCACCTCAACACTTGACCGCTGCAACATGCTGCACATGGGGCTGCCCTTGAAGACTATTTGGAAACTACAAGTAGTCCAGATTATGGCAGCACAGGATGTGATTTGCATACCACAGTATGTCCATGTGTCATTGCTACTTTGTAAGTTGCAGTGGTTGCCAGCTAGCTTCTGTATGCAATTCAAGGTGAGGGTTATCACCTATAAAGCCCTTCACAGCCTAGGGCCTGGTTATTTGAGGGACCACCTAACTCCAATTGTTTTTGCTTTCTGGAACAGTAACCCCCCAGAAATCTGTAAAGAACTCACCCTGAGGGTGTTCAATAAATGCTTGAAAACATGGCTTTGTTCTGAGGCCTGGAGACAGGTTGGTTGCTGAGGCCTTGGTGATTTTAAGGATTGTTCTGTTGTTGTTTTGGGGGGGCATTGTGTTGTGTTATTGTGGGTATTCATGATCAATTTCTTTTGTTTTTGTTTTTAATTGTTTGTGACTTTTAAAATGTAAGCCAGCCAGGGTTGAGTCAAAATCCAAGAAAACAAACAAACGAACAAACAAATAAATAAATATAATCAATGAATCAATCAAACCTGTAGGCACACTTAACACGAAGTAACATAACTATATATATTACATGCTTATGTATTTTCCTCTTTACTATATAGATTTAGAGACATCAGGGGATTTTGCCAGTGGTGATTTCCATGAATGGACAGATGATGAGGATGATGATATCATGAATGATGAAGATGAAATAGAAGATGATGATGAGGATGAGGGTGATGATGATGAGGATGGTGACCATGAGGGATATATTTGATTTTCTTAGCTGTGACTAAATTGTCTCTAAAATTTACAAGATGCCACCCCAGAAAATTCTTCTATCTTCAAAGGTCAAATGGATTCAAATCTACATGTATATTTTGTATGATTATTTGAAACACTGCAGCTGGAGTCATAGACATTCTTTGTTTAAATAAAAATCATTATATTATGTGTTGTTTTTATATGCCACTCAGCAGAAGAAAATGCACTGGAGTGTAGCCTTAAGAAAAAAATAGTTGTTTGTGTGAGATAGTAAAAAACAAACAACCCCCCAGATAACTTTAAGGACAACTGCTCTTTGAGAATCTATATGTACGTAAAGGCACACTTCCAGCAGGCCAGTCCTCTATCATAAAGCAACTAAACTCTTAATCATGATGTAGAACATATGGCCTTTTTTCAGAATGTGTATGGGCAAGAGAAGGAAACTTTAATCAAGAATATAACATGTCATCAGCTTATTATATACTAGAGCACCAGAGAAACTATAAGAGGAGAAAAAGTGCCAGGTACTCCTTTTCTGTTTCAAACTGTTATGTTTTCAACTTCCAATTTACTAGGATCCTGAAATGATATGCATTCATTCTCTGAAGCTTAACTCCTAGTGACTACATGGACATGTCCATGTTGTTTTGGGGGAACAAAATGGAAATGGTCTGCCATGGGCTTCTAGGATTTTTTTTTAATTTCCCAGCCTAATATACTGCTATAATATTCCCCCTTTCATAAATTAACCAGGGCTAACCTGCTTAGCCTTTCTGAGATCAACTAGAAATATATTCAGTAAACCCCAACATAGACTGAGCAGTTTTAAAGTTTGATTTTGTTCTTTTCTCCTGTCCATGTCAAAATCATGCAAGCTCGTTATGCGTGAAATTAGCTTGACAATTTTATATTTATTTCTGAAACTTCCTAATCATAAAATTAGTTTCAGATGATTTTGTGGGAAAACCTTTGCATAAAGTTTGTGTTTCTATGTTATTGTAGCTAATAATAATGACACTTGTCTGGAGAAATGCTTTTTGAACTGTGGCTTTTTTATTTTTAAATGATCCTTATATTTCTCTCCTAATTTGTCCCTTTTCTGCTACTAGTTCAAAACTTTAGAGGAGCTATTGTAAGGTGCCTTGCAAAATTGAAATAGAAAGATTTATAGCATGCATACTGATATAAAATTATGCCAAGCATTCCCAAATTCCAAATTTTATATCACTATAAGTCCTGCTGGTGTTATGGAGAATTTTTTTTTTTTTTCTCTCCTCTGCCCCAATTTTTACATAATTACCATATAGAATGCATTATAATTCTTAAGTAGAGTTGCATTCACAATTTGACTATAGACAAAATTATTTTAATCACACTATTTATGTTAGCATGTTAATTGTGCAAACATTTTGAAACTCCACTACCTGCATTCATATCAAAATTGTGGCTTCATGCCATAATGAAATTGAAAGACTCTGTAATTATGCAAGCAGTTGTTTAATTTCAACTGTGCATTATTGTTTTCCCTAATTTTTAATCTGCAATTAATTGAAATAAAATTTCTTTGCATTTGATTATATAGATTTAATATTAAATTTAATGATTATCTTATGTAACATTAAAAATCCTGCAGTTTTTCTTTTTATGTTTATGTATAGTTTACAAAATAAAGACTCTTGTAACCAATTTTTATTCAGAATGCTGTAATGTTTCTTATAGGATGAAGGTAACAGACACTCTTAGCACTAATTTGCTATTGAGCAATATTGGAATAGTTGAACTAGATGAAGAAAGCACTACACCAAGCAGTAACATTTGCATCTCCAATATACTTTAATGTGATTTTCAACAAAGGCTTTATTTTATAAAATGCATATAACCAGCTATTTCCTTATGGAAAATTTCCTGTGCTCATTTGTTATTTGGTAAGATTCTAGCTGATTGTGAGGCTAATTAAAATATCCAATCTGCAGTATTACATATCCAATCTAATCTCTTACTAAGTCAAATGCCCTCACTGCTTTACCACATCATTGGCCTAATAGTAATGACTATTCATTTTGGAAAAGGAACATTTTCAATCCAGCTTTATTGTGCTGAAAGCTATTATTGTGTAAGTATGGAAGAAGTTTCTGTTGTTGTTAATTAGGGTTTCATAAAGCAAGGCTTGAAATGGACACTTTTCTACCATCCAGCAGAAATGCCTTTGACTATGCTTTAGTTACTCTCCTACATCAAAGGAGAGAACAGAGAATATGCTAGTACAGAATCACTTCAATATATTTGGACGTGCGGTTTAAAAACAAGTGAAAATTAATTGTCCTCACAATTCCTTACCAACTGTTGCTGTTGTGTCACACTTGAACTGGTTCAGTTCATGATTCATGTCCAAGAACGCCTTACTTATCAGGAAGACCATAAGCACAGAAAACTGGAAAAGTCTGATCCTTTGTTAAATTAACAGTGTAGGACTATTTCTATCATTGCTTCATCATTTTTTCAGGCATACCCCAAATACTGTAATTATTTCCCAATTTTTCATGTTATTTCAAAGAGGGCTTTGTTTCTGAGGGCAACTTCACATACTTGCAAAATTTGCCAATGAGAAACTGATTTTTTGGCATTTTTGTGCCCAGTTCCAACCATCCTGTAATCTTTAGATTATTTTGATTTGCAAAATAGATGTTTGACTTGGAGTTACTTCTCCCCACTCAGGAAAAAAAAAAAAAAAGTCAAGTAAACATTAGCCTCTTCTGCTTCTAATTGCTGTGTAAAGCATACGATCACCTCATTTTTTAAAGCAAAGTTTTATAGTAAACAGAATATTTTCATCCGAGGACTGCATACTAAATAACTTTATAATGTCAAGTATTTTTACCTAAAGTTTTTTTTTCCCATTTACATTTTATTTATAGAAATTAAATGAGATACTTTCAGGTATTTGGACTGCTTATAAATTAATCCATTATTTTCCCCATCTAATCATAGAATCATAGACTTGGAAGTTATCTAAGAGATCAAGCCCCTGCTCAGTGCAGAATCCACTACAGCATCTCTGACACATGATCATCCAAGCTCAGTTGGAGGACCTCTAGTGGAGAAGAACTCACCACTTCATGTGGCAGTCTGTTCCTCTAGGTGGCAGCTTGTACAGTCTGAACTCCGTTGTAAAAATTTGATCATTTGGTTCTGATCCTGCCCTCTTAGTCAACAGAGAATAAGTCTGCTCCTTATTTTGGGTGCCAGCCCTTCAGATATTATAATTCTGCTCTCATATCTCCCCTTAGTCATTTTTCCATGGATTAAACATACCCAGATCTTTTTACTATTTCTCATTGGGCCTGGTTTCCAGACCTTTTACTATCTTAGTAGCACTTCCTAAATTGCTCCCATCGTCACTATAATTTTTGAACTCTGGTGCCCAGAACTGAGCACAATACTCCAAATGGGTTCTGATCAGGGCAGAGCAGAGTAGAAGAATTACTTCCTGTGAGCTGGACTCTATACTCCTCTTAATGTGCCCCAATATAGTGCTTTTATTTTTGGCAGCAGCATTGCACTGCTGACTCATTTAATTTGTGGTAAATAAGCTCACCAAATTCTCTTTCATATGTACTACTGCCAGACCGGGTCTGTCCATCCTATATTTGTGCCTTATGTTTTTCCTACCCAAATGCATCATTTCACACTCATGCCTGATGTATTCCAACCTATTCATTTCAGCCCTTTGCTTGAGACTCTCTATATTTTTTAAACTTGTCCCTTTCACCTAATTAGCCACCACTCCAGCTGAGTCTTACCTGCAAATTATATAAGTATCCTCTCAACTCTCATACAAGTTATAAAATAAATGGTTGAATAGCACAGGGGCCAGGAAAAAAAATTGTGGCATGCCACTCAAAATTTCCATTCAAACTGAAGAGGAAATATTAATGAGCACTCTTGATGTTGTTCTTTAGCCAACGGTGAGTACATCTAATTGTTATATCGTCTTGCTCACATTTTCCCATTTTCCTATGAATACTATGAGGCACTTTGTGACAGCTTTGCTGAAGTCTTGGTGCTCTATGTCTATGGCATTTCCTTGATCTATTAAGTAAGTAATTCTATCAAAGGAGATAAGGTTAATTGGGCATGATTTGTTTGTCTCAGACCAATGCTGATTCCTGTTAATTGTAGCATGCCAGTCCAAGTGCTTGCAAACATGTTGCTTGACAATCTGTTCAAGAGCCTTGAGCAATATAGATATCAAGCTGACAGGTCTGTAGTTTCCTGGGACTGCCTTCTTTTCCTTTTGAAGATGGGGATGACATTGGTTCTGTTCCTCTTTTGAGATCTCACTAGAACTCCAGAAGTTCTTAAAGTTTACTAAGAGTGATTATGTGATCACTTCTGCAAGTTTCTTTAGTACCCTGAAATGTAATCCACCTGCTCCTGCAGCTTTGAATTCATTTAGGTTAGATACATTCCTTCTTACCCGTGCCTTACCCTTCCCAAGGTGTCGTTTCTTCCTTACACCAATGGCATGACAAAAATCAGCTAGGGCTCCATTTCCTTTCTTAGAGAAGACAGACACGAAATAAGAGTTAAATTCTGCTTTCTCATTATCACTCATTGTTGATTCACCATTTTCTCTTTGCAATGGACCTAAATATTCTTTTGATTTCCTTTTATTTCAAACATATTCCTGAAACCCTTTTTTTGTTTGTTTTTGGTATCTCTCACAATGCTTATCTCATTCTGATTGTTAGTCTTTCTGACACAGTTTCTACATTACATTCTTCTTTGGTTATGTTTCCGCTTACATTTCATGCATATGTTCTTTTTTTCTCTTCAGCATTTTAGAGAGGTCTGCATGCATCCATGCTGGCCTCTTTAGGTTCCTCTATGGTTTTTCTTTTTGTAGAGATTGTTTGCATTTGTGTCTTCATTGTCTCATTTGTAGAATTCCCCATTCTTCCTAGACACTTTTCTCTTTCAGGAATTCAAACCATTGGATCCCACCTACCTCCCCTTGTAGTTCACCAAGTCTGCTCTTGTGAAGTCCAATGAGGAGTCTCACTCTTCTCAATTCCTCTTTTTTTTCCCCCTAATGTAGAGTTCTGGAAAATTCAGAAAGTTTGCATACTATTTTGTGGTGTTTGATGTTAATCTTTTCAAAGTATTGCCCTTAAATGCATTTTTTAATCAAGCAGATGAAATGAAATATACAATGATTTAAAAAAAAAAACCTGAAGGACAGTAATATAAGATGAACATACATAACAGAATGAGTATAGTCTTCCTTCCATTTTCTCTGTTTTTTTCTAGAAAGCTAAAATTGGGGGCACTAGTCAATGTTAAAAGCCATTGTCCTTCAGCATATGTGATCAAAGGAATTTGTTAAATTTCAGATTAAGAAGTGCAAAGAACATAATTTATTATGTCTAGAAAATTGTGTGGTAGATTTTTTTTTTTTTCAAAACCGTCATCACAAAAAAAAAAAAAACCAACACAACACACCAACTTCTTGACTCTATTATTCCTAGCAATCTTCCATGCTGCAGTTGTTGACATTATTGCCTAGTTGTATTGCTATATTTCACTGGCTTCTCAGATGGATTACATCTCTCATACTTCCAAGTACTGGGAAAATGAGTATGGAATTGTATTCCAACATATTTGGAAGGCATCACCTTGGCAAATATTGTTCTTCGTAGCCCTAGTGAAGAACAATTAAGGCAACGTAATGAGTAACCATGAGTAATGAGTAACCATCAAGACAACAAAATCATGACAACTATACTCCCAGTAGACAAAAATCTCACACCCACTGCACATGTGCTAAGCTCAGTTCACATCCTGGCCCAGTGCTTGGGGGGAAAGCCAGGACTTCCCAGCCTTCTGAAAAGCCAAGAGTAAGGATTCTCTGGATCTCAGGTAGGAGACTGTTTCATACAGCAGGTGCCACTACAGAGAAGGCATGACTTTTAGGTCCTGCCAGATGACATTGTTTGATAGAAGAGACCTGGTGTACATCTACCCTGTCAGATCTGGTGGGATGGACAGATACCCTCAGGATTAAGAATCCTGCAAATAACCTGTTAGGCATTAAAGGTAATTACCAGCACCTTGAATAGCTCCTGGAAGGTAGTTGTACTAACTTTCATATCCTTACTACAAACCCATCCACAAGTCTCAGAAAAATTTCTCATTAAGTGCTATCCCTTAAACTGCTACACACTACTCTCTATGTGAAATTATCTCTCATATGGTTAAAGTGACCATTTTAACTAAACTTTTGCAATTTGCTTTTTTTGAAAGACCTTTGGACAAAACTGCCAGAACAGTACTGGGAAGATCTTACAGAATCTCCAAGGATCTTGTATGCCATGTCAGAACAGGAGACAGGGATGGTCCTGCAGGTCAGGAGCGTGATTTATTGTTTCTAACTACATTATTAGCATAATACACACACCATAAACATGCACATAATGTCTCTACTCAAAGGGAAGAGAGAAAGTAAGAAAATCATTTTTATCACTGGTCAAGTAGACAAAAGGGATTTTGGAGATTCAAAAGAGATCTTTATCACTATGAAATTTGATAATGGCATGATGTTTTTATTTTTGTTTGCACCTATAATTC